CTGATACATTCTGCTTGAGCTTTTGAAAAACAACAGACGTACTGGCTGGATCACCAGATGAAAATAGAAAAAATAAATAAATGTTTGCGTTTGGGTTTAATACTGCTTTAATTAGTTTATTTATAAAGCAGTAAATCTGATATTTACAAAACATTCACTGCAGGTGAAGCTTCCAGGTGCAGGTGTTTTATAATGTATCTTTGGTCCAAATTTGAAACCAAATTTTCTTTTCTACATTGAGATTCAATTTCTAGACTACTCTTATTTACTGACGCACCGAAATTTCGACTGGCAAAAATAGGCCTGTTGGCATTTTAACTCTAGTAAAAAGTGAGCCGATACAGGTGCTGATAATTGCGGCCTAGATAATAAATCATAAATAAAAGCAAGGAACCAATGTGGGGGGGGGATATCCTCCTGCGCTTGATATGGATACGTCCCTATCTACCAGCTGCAATCACTCAACCTCAACCAATAAGTCTTAATTGCCAAATATTAAATAGTGAAGCGCTCCCAAACTACCTAAGAAAATTCCCTCTATGCATACCATAAATACCAACTGAACTTAAAAGTAATCGATACCATAAGGTGATAAAAAACATAAATCTATTAGTGAAAATACATAAACACCTCTCTTAATACCAATTAATAATAATGCCTCATAATTGATCTGTGATGGAAAATAACAAATATAAAATTCATAAAAAATCTCAAATATTAGTGATAATAATTCATAATATAATAAAAGATGTGACAAATCGTGATAAATAGTGACAAACCTATAAATCAAAATAAATAGTGATTCTTCAAAAAATAAATAAATAAATAAATGTGCAATACATATATCCTGTGATAAAACCCTATAACAAATTAAATTAAATAGATAACTACTTAATTCTGTGAAAAAATAAATGAACTCAGTGTCCAGAATATACTCAAAAAGTCCATGCAAATTGTGAAAACACTCTGTGATCTTCACTTCTAGTGCTCAAAAAGGAATCCTCCAATGGCAGCAATGCCTGCTCACCTCCCCTCCTCGACCCACACAGGGCCACAAGGCAAAAAACTCCCCTCAAAGGTAATCCTTTATTCCAGGCAGCTCAGCAAGGGACCTCAGGACTTCCACTCCACCACATGTAATCCTTGTAAACAGCGCTTTCCACCTCACATCATGGGTGTATTCACATACAGGGAGGGAAACAAATATGGCCGCTGCGTCCGGACAAACGTCCCCACGTGACCGGAAGTGACGTAATCTCGAACTGGGAATGGCGTTCCGACGCGTTGCGTCACGTGCGTCGTGACTTCATCACTAATAGATTTATGTTTTTTATCACCTTATGGTATCGATTACTTTTAAGTTCAGTTGGTATTTATGGTATGCATAGAGGGAATTTTCTTAGGTAGTTTGGGAGTGCTTCACTATTTAATATTTGGCAAGGAACCAATGTGACAGTCCCAGCAAGTGGTGGTCTTGCGACAGGGTGTGCTAACGCGAAGATAAAATGAAAATAAAGTGACAGTTTGTGCTAGGGTGCCAATCACAGTTGTGGATTACTTCAAATATTCAGTGATATGTCCAAAAGTGTGGTAAAAATACGCACTCACCAGATGCGTATTATAAATACGCATGTATTATGTGTAATCAGAGGTCCCCGTTAAGGATGGATGAGGTAAGCCGGGTACGGAATCTCCTCCCTCTGGATGGTGTACAGCCTAACGGACTTCTCCTGGATACCCAAGGAACTAATCTTGCCAGAGGTCCTCTTAAAGGATGGATGGGTGTTTGCAGCCTGAGATGGAATTAGTTCCTTGAGTATCCAGGAGATATCCGTTGAGCTGTACACCATCCAGAGGGAGGAGATTCCGTACCCGGCTTACCTCTTCCATCCTTAACGGGGACCTCTGATTACACATAATACATACGTATTTATAATACGCATCTGGTGAGTGTGTATTTTTACCACACTTTTGGTCACATCGCTGAATATTGAAGTAATCCACAACTGTGATTGGCTCCCTAGCACTTACTGTCACTTTATAAATGAATATATCATAAAATAAAGATAAAATGTTCATAAAGTGACAGTTCGTGCTAGGGTGCTAATCACATTTGTGGATTACTTCAGTATTCAGTGATGTGTCCAAAAGTGTGGTAAAAATACACACTCACCAGATGCGTATTAGAAATGCGTATGTATTATGTGTAACCAGAGGTCCCTGTTAAGGATGGATGAGGTATGCCGGCTACGGAATCTCCTCCCTCTGGATGGTGTACACCCCAACAGATATCTCCTGGATACTCAAGGAACTAATCTTGCCAGAGGTCCTCTTAAAGGATGGATGGGTGTTTGCAGCCTAAGATGGAATTAGTTCCTTGAGTATCCAGGAGATATCCATTGGGCTTTACACCATCCAGAGGGAGGAGATTCCGTACCCAGCTTACCTCATCCATCCTTAACGGGGACCTCTGATTACACATAATACATACGTATTTATAATGCGCATCTGGTGAGTGTGTATTTTTACCACACTTTTGGACACATCGCTGAATATTGAAGTAATCCACAACTGTGATTGGCACCCTAGCACGAACTGTCACTTTATGAACATTTTATCTTTATTTTATGATATATTCATTTATACACATTTCAACAGACATAATTTAATTTTAGCGCTGCACCTTTTAGTTCGTATGTTTTTTGAGGTTTCATCTGGTTACCTTAGTGTGCAATAGCAGCTAATTTTGAGCGCTCACTGATCCCTACCTTTTATATGGGTTATATTTGTCAGTCAGTGCTATCAAAGGCTAGGTTTCTGCTTTTTCTATTCTGTTCTAGAGACTGTTGGCCTCTCACTCTTTAAGACCCTTATGTAGGCCATAGATGGGTCAAAAATCGGCCGAAGATTTGGCCGAAAGAATAATCTGCTGATTTTCAGATCATTAGTGGGTGAATTTGTCGGCTGTTTTTTCGTGATTTTGACACATTTTTTTAAATCGGTTATGTTGGGAAAAAAAACGGCCGATTTTGTCGTTCGGCCGATTTTCATGGCAATGATGTTCAAATTGCCCGATCTTTTTATCGATTAAAAAAATGTGCATGAGCCATGACCTGCAAGAAGAAGAAACGAGAAAAAGACAATGAAGACAAAGAAAAAGAATAACATTTGTATCTATTTGTATCCATTTCGGATACAGATGTTTCTATTCGGATACAAATAGATACAATGTTGCAACCGCAATACTTTTAAATGTCAAATAGAATAGTGGAGTGTCCCTGCAGAGAGCTCTTCTATTATATTTGACATTTAAAAGTATAGCGGTTGCAACATTGTATCTATTTGTATCAGAATAGAACCCTCTGTATCCGAAATGGATACAAATAGATACAATGTTGCAACTTTGCTATACTTTTAAATGTCAAATATAATAACGGAGCTCTCTGCAGGGACACTCCACTATTATATTTGCCGGCCGTAGACGGGACGAAAATCAGACGATTTTTTTTTTACCAATGGTGGTAGCGTCGGCCGATTGAACGCCCGATTTTTCGTGGTTTTATTTTTTTAAAAGTCCGGTTTTCGACCCATCTATGGCGTGCATTATACAGGGAGTCTCATGTAGATTCCCTGTCTATTCTCCTGTGACTACATGGGATCTGAATTTGTTTCTCTCTGTGCTTCAAAAACCACCACTGGAACCCAGCAGAGACATCACCCACAAGGTAGTTTTGTTTGCAGCCATCGCATGGGGTGTCTGAACTGGTGATCTAATCCTAAAAGGAATCCTTTTTGGTTTTCAATAAAGTCAAGGTGGTGTTAAAGCAGAGGACATCCTTCAAGGCTGTGGAGGTTCCTACCTTTCACCCCAATTAGGACATTATTCTGCCTGCCTGCAGTTCACCTTCAATTGTCTGTATTTGGTTTGGGGGGTCTGTGAGTTTCTCTGTCAGCTACTGCCACCTTTAGACTGTTTTCCTCTTTTGTTATCACAGATGGTCCCCAAAAAGGTGCAACCCCTTGACTTGGACAGGCCACCATCTGTGCTTATGGTCTCAAGGATCAGGTTCCACCTTTTCCTCTTATAGCCCACTCTGTTGTAAGTACCAAGTACCACTAGGTGGATGTTTCTGCCTCATCTGATGTCCGCTTTTGGATGTGAAGTCCTTCAGATGACTTTGAGGTGCTGGCAATCCCCAGTTTTTCTGTTCTTTCTTGAGTCTGTTAGCATTTTGTTTACTGCATTACCCACCCCTCAGATGAGCTGTTGATGGATATCCAGAAGGTTAAAGGCTTACTGTGGCTTGCAGTGGACAAGAAAGAAAATAGGATCTTGCACTCTCCATAAAATCCTTTTCATGGAGTCCATTAAGGGGCACAGGTTCCACCCCGCTGTGAATATGATCATGCTCTCAGTACTGTTTTGCTACAAACGGAGGCATGCTGATAGTAGGAGGGGTTATCCTGGGCTGGCCTACGCTTGACCACTGAGCGTAGCATGGAACGCGTGAAATAGACATTTCTGGAAGTGTCTTTTTTTTGTTTTTTAAGCAGACTTCACAGGACAGTTTCTCAGTATCAGAGCAGTGCCTGTCACCTTGCCCATTGCTTCTCTTGCTGTAACCGCCTCTGCAAAATAACCAGTGCTTCTGGCTATGGAGTAGCATGTAAACTGTTCCCATGATGAAGTGCTTGGGTTTAGCAGCCAGTTGCTAGGCCCGAGCACCATCACTGTATTTAGGTGGTGTCCACTGGTGTAAATTTGTCCTGAATGGACAAGTCTCAGTGTGTCTAGGGTACTTTTTCTTCTTTCTTGACCATTTTATTTTCTGTTATATAATTTTGTCTAATGAATTGCTGACCGGATCTTTTGTTCCTATATAGGGATAGGTTGTTACGAGTGTTGATGTAGTGTTGTGGCTCAGTGCAGATTGCAGGCCACTGGACCTTTGCTGCTGATCTTGAGTACAGTGATTAACAGCTCTCTTTTGCCTATGTAGGGTGCTGTGGAGCCCATGCAGATTGATGCTGACCCTCAAGATGACCAGCAGAATGTGCCTGATATCAACTATGTGGTGGAAAATCCAACTTTGGTAAGTCTACCCTGATAGCTCATTTGTATTGTCTTCTTCCTGTGACATATTTGCTGTGTGTTTTTGATTGTATCCCTTGTCTCTGAGAAGAATATGCTGGGGCTTGAGTAGTCTCAAAGCTTGCTATTTTAGTATGTGCAGAGAGCTGATTAAAGGTATTATTGTTTGTTTTTTCATGTTATTCTCAATTAAAACATATATTTACAAGCCATTTAATGTGAAAGTTCATCTTTTCATTTTTTCATGAAAATGTGAACTAACCTGCAACCTCCCCACTCACCCACTCACTGCACTTCTGTGGGTGATTAGCTGTCACTGCTCTCACAGCCGGTGAATTGATCTAGGCATCTAAAAATCTTGCTCTTCTTCCCTTCTTTCATTAGGGCTTCTAGGACAGATCAGAGTGATTCTGATTGGCTGCAAAGCCCTATGGGACCTTTCAAATGGACAGCTTCCATTTTGATCAGCAGGGGATCTGTGAGCTGATCTCCTGCTGATCAGAGCAAAGAGGGACGGATGACAGGTCCGTGTCCACTTAGTTTCAGCAGAACGTAAAATGGACAGACCCCGCTATGCATTATGGACAGCCGAGAGTAAATGAACTCCTCTGTCTGTCTATATCCAGCTGCCTCCTTTCTGGTCTGCTCAAGCAGAAGAGGATGTGATCCTTCTCCTTTTTTTTTTTTTTGTTTTTTTTTTTAACTGCTGGCCTGATCCGAGATAAGCGGGTGTAAACTGATGCAGGTATCTTTACACCCGCCTATCCATAAGAATGCATGGGCCTTCTGATCAGGTCTTCCTGAAAAATTGACAGGCGGACTTGATCAGATCACCCCTATGAAAGGGGCCTAAGAAAAGAAAGGGAGGAAGAGTTGTACTTTCAAATCCCTATCCCGCTGCATCGGCTGTGTGGTTCGTGACAGCTAATCACCCACAGAGGTAGGTGCAGTGGGGACTGAGGTCATAGGAAGGGTGTAGGGTGTTTTTTAAAAGGTGAACTTGCACCTTAAAGCCAAAAAAGTTTTTTTGTCACTCTTGGACACAGCAGGATGTTAATTACAGGTGCATCTCAATAAATTATATCATCAAAAAGTTAATTTATTTCAGTAATTCGATTCAAAAAGTGAATCTTATATATTCTATAAATTCATTATACACAGAGTGATATCATTCAAGCATTTCTTTCTTTTAATTTTGAGGATTATAGCCTAAAGCTAGTGAAAACCAAAGTTCAGTATCTCAGAAAATTAGAATATTGTGAAAAAGTTTAATATTGTAGATTTATGGTGTCACACTCTAATCAGCTAATTAACTCAAAACGCCTGTAAAGTTTCCTGAGCCGTTTTATGGTCTCTCAGTCTGGTTCAGTAGGTTACACAATCATAGGGAAGACTGCTGACTTGACAGTTGTCCAGAAGACAGTCATGGACACCCTCCACAAGGAGGGTAAGTCACAAAAGGTCATTGCTGAAGGAGCCGGCTGTTCAGAATGCTGTATCCAAGCATATTAATAGAAAGTTGAGTGGAAGAAAAAAGTGTGGTAGAAAAATGTGCACAAGCAACAGGGATATCCACAGCCTTGAGAGGATTGTGAAGTAAAGGCCATTTAAGAATTTGGGGGAGATTCACAAGGAGTGGTTTACGGCTGGAGTCAGTGCTTCAAGAGTCACCACACACAGACGTATCCAGGACATGAGCTACAACTGTCGCATTCCTTGTGTCAAGCCACTCCTGAACTAGAGACAATGTCAGAAGCATCTTACCTGGGCTAAGGAGAAAAAGGACTGGACTGTTGCTCAGTGGTCCAAAGTAAATTTTGCATTTCATTTGGAAATCAAGAAGGAGTGGAGTGGAGTGGAGAGGCACAGAATCCAAGTTGCATGAGGTCCAGTGTGAAGTTTCCACAGTCAGTGAGGATTTGGAAAGCCATGCCATCTTCTGGTGTTGGTCCACTGTGTTTTATCAAGACCAAAGTCAGCACAGCCCTCCACCAGGATATTCTAGAGCACTTCATGCTTCGCTCTGCTGACCTGCTTTATGGAGATGCTGATTTCATTTTCCAGCAAGACTTGGCACCTGCCCACACTGTCAAAAATACCAATACCTGGTTTAATGATCATGGTGTCACTGTGCTTGATTGGCCAGCAAACTCCCCTGACCTAAACCCCATAGAGAATCTGTGGGGTATTGTCAATTGGAAGATGGGAAGACAACAGACCCAACAATACAGACGAGCTGAAGGCCGCTATCAAAGCAACCTGGGCTTCCATAACACCTTCACAGTGCTACAGGCTGATCACCTCCATGCCATGCCGCATTGATACAGTAATTCATGGAAAAGGAGCCCCAACCAAGTATTGAGTGCATGCTATACTGAACATGGACATACTTTTCAGTAAGCCAACATTTCTGTATTACAAAATCGGTTTCTTTTTTTTTTTCTTTGTGTTCCCTGCAGGATCTCGAGCAGTACGCCTCCAGTTACAGTGGTCTCATGCGGATTGAGAGGTTGCAGTTTATTGCTGATCGGTGTCCACAGCTGCGTGTTGAGGCCTTGAAGATGGCCCTGTCTTTTGTGCAGCGGACTTTTAATGTAGATGTTTATGAAGAGATTCATCGCAAGTTGTCAGAAGCCATCAGGTATCAGGGGTAAAACAAATTATACATAAATTTGATCACATCTTCTGTTTTCTTACGTTTATACTCTCCCCTACTTCTGGACTCCACTCATACATTGCTTACCTTATTTCTTGCTGTAGATTTATCAAACCTTTGTGATGCGCTTCTTTTCCACATACTTTACTTTTAGAGGAAAGTGATAGTTTCTCCTTAACCACTTCCAGTCCGGACACTTTTACCCCCTTCCTGTCCAGGGCAATTTTCTGCTTTCAGCACTATCACACTTTGAATGACAATTGCGCGGTCATGCAACACTGTACCCATATGAATTTTTTACCATTTTTTTGAGACAGATAAAGTTTTATTTTGGTGGTATTTATTCACCGCTGAGATTTTTATTTTTTTTGCTATGTAAATGAAAATGTCCAAAAATTTAAAAGAAAAGTGTTTTTTTCTTATAAAATTTTGCAAATAAATAATCTTTCATCATAAAGCTTGGCCGAAATGTATTCCATTATCTTTTTAGTAAAAACAAAATAAGCCAAATTAGTTTATAACCAAAAATTATAATTTTTAAACAGGGAGCGCGCACAGCTAGAAATGGCGGGTGCCGTTTATGAACGGCAACCCGCCCCTGGAGTGCCACCGCTCTGCCGTTTTTAAACAGCAGGCGGACGGCAAGTGGTTAAATCATAAATTAAACAATGCTGCACTGCAAAACATAGGAATCAAGTGTCCATAAAAACAAGTCCATAAATGTGAAATCATCAGTAGTGATTCAATAATATAATTCTTCACAGACTATTATGCTTCTTCATGTTACATATAGTTACATAGTTAGTATGGCTGAAAAAAGACAAAAGTCCATCCAGTTCAACCATAGAGAAAAAAAAAGTTATAATCCTATACCCACAGTTGATCCAGAGGAAGACAAAAAAAAAACCCCAGCAAAGCACGATCCAATTTGCTCCTGCTGGGAAAAAAAATGTCTTCCCGATCCCCCGAGAAGCAATCGGATATTCCCTGGATCAACTTTACCTATAAATATTAGTATCCAGTTATATTCTGTGTATCTAAGAAACAATCCTGGACTTTTTTGAAGCAATCCACACATCAACACCATCAGATGAAGTGCTATGAAACATGCAGATGGTGTCACCTCAGTGCTCACAGAACTCTCATCTGACCCTGCAGCGTATGCAGTGGTGTATTTAGGTTTTGTGCTGCCCTAGGCAAGGCAAAAATTGGATGTTTCCCCCCACCTCCCTTCCCACGGAGAGAGCCTGACACCAACCAACCACGCCCCCCCAGAAAGAGACTAACACCCACAAACTGCACCCTACCCACCGCCAGTGAGAGAGACTGACAACGACCAACACCACCACCCACCCCCCTCCCAGCCGAGAGAGCCTTCCGCTACCACTGCCCCCCATACACCTGCCATGGAGAGAGCCTGACACCAACCAACCATGCCCCCCCCCCCCCCCCCAAAAAGAGACTGACACCTACCAACTGCACCCTAACCCCCCCACCACCACGGAGAGAGGCTGACAACGACCAACACCACCACCCACCCCCTCCCGACCAAGAAAACCTTCCGCTACCACCACCCTCTCCCCCAGAGGGAGAGAGAAAAAACACTCACCTTTACAGCTTTGGACAGCCCCAGGAAGGAGAGTCTGGCTCTGTGTACACTGTCAAGCAGCCCACGACCTCTCTCAGATCCCACCTGGTCCCCATGTCATGTGTGTCCTTTCTTCTGGGGGGCTGCGCTACCCCCCTGAAAAATGCCGCCCTAGGCAAATGCCTTGTTTGCCTCATGCTAAATACACCCCTGAGCGTATGAGGGATGAATGATCGCCAGAGCAAAGATCAGGATTATACTCCAGAATACAGGTGTACCTCGGTTTATGAACGCCTCGGTTAATGTAATTTTCTTTTTACAAAGGAAAACCCATTAAAAATAATGCCTCGGTTTATGAATTTTTTACACATTTTTTTCACAATACAAAGTGTATGTCGGTGCCAATTTTTAAATACAATTGCCGGATTTTTTTTTTCTTCTTCACTATAGCTCACAGAATTAGCTGTCACTTTCCCTGGAGCTAAATGATACTTTGTTTCTTTTAACTCAGGGAAATAAACTAAAAGGAAACTTTCTTTCTTTTAGCTGGGGGAAAGTGACAGCTGATTCTCTGAGCTATAGTGAAGAAAAAAAAAAAGCCAGTAATTACGTTTAAAAACTGGCACTGACCTATAGTGACAGCGACTTTTTTTAAACTTTTTTCTGACCTCCGGAACGGATTAATTGGTTTTCAGTGCATTCCTATGGGAAACTGCATTTTCGTTTACAAATTTTTTGCCAAATGAAACATCCCGGAGAGCGCATTAAATTCGTAAACCGAGGTACACCTGTAATTGGTACCGGTATCGGTTTCTGGCTTGATATTTTATTGAAAGCTTAAAAGGTGTCTGACCACTCTTATACAGTTGATGATCGAGAGAGTGAAGAACTGTTTGCCTACTTGGTATTACAAAGCTCATTTTAATTGCTCTGAGGTGAGAGTTCTGTGAGCACCGAGGTGACACCGTCTGTATTTTCATAGCACTTCATCTGATGGTGTTGGTGTGTGAGCACATGAAGAACTTTGTGAAGAATTATATTATTGAATCACTACTGATGATTTCCCATTTATGGACTTGTTTTTATGGACATTTTATTCCAATGTTTTGTTAATGACTTAGATATGCTTCAACTCTCTTTATTATTATTATTATTCTACAGTATTTATAAAGCGCCAATAGTTCTCTCAGCGCTGTACATTACAAAGGGGGACACTTTGTGTAAGTTTATTACACTTACACAAGTTTATTACACTTTTGATTTAAATCATCTTATATTGTATTAGCAGCACAGCATTGTTTTATTGATGATTTATGGTTTTGTTGTGGGAACACAATTTTACTGCTTGCAGCAGCTCCTTATCACATTGTTTTCACTTTATTCAGGTAGCGCAGGGGTTTTTTTCTTGTTTTTTGTATAGTTTCTCATTATCCTCCCCCAGCAAGTTATACTTACCAATCCACGCTGCAGGAGTTCAGTAAACTCTATCACAAGCTGAAGTTTGCCTGCCTTCCCATACCCAGAATTCCCACTCCATTAGAACAAGTGAGGAGGCAGCAAGGAAGCACAGATGGGTGAGCATACCTTGGTAGGTCAGGTGTGCTTTCAAAAGGCACTGTCACTTCCGTTCCTTCAATGAGCAGATTGCAAATTCTTTTTTTCTGGAATAGAGAAGTAATAATTTCTATACAGTTTGTAGTGGTGCAGTAGTCAAGGTCTACTAACTAATCCTGTATGCATTTTTCTCCTTGTGTCCACACACTCTGGTTTTTAGTTTTTTTGCTTTGTTTTGTTTTTTCTTAAATCATTTTCCACCCTGTCCTCTTCTTTAGTACTCTATTTCCCCCTCTAATGCTTTTCAATATCTGTGCAGAGAGCTACAGAATGCACCGGATGCTTTGCCTGAGGGCTCGTTGGACCCTCCTCCTCTGGACACAGCCTGGGTGGAGGCCACTCGAAAAAAAGCACTTCTGAAATTAGAGAAACTGGACACTGACCTAAAGAATTACAAAGGGAATTCAATTAAAGAAAGTATAAGGTAAGAACAAAACTCACAGAAAGAGTTGGTGAAATAATCAGAATAGTGAAGGTGACTTTCTTGTGGAAATAGATTTAGATCTTCTAAATAATGGGCTTAAAGACAATGTATTATACTGTGGTTCATCACTTCTCTAATTACACTGACCATTTTTCTACAGGAGGGGTCATGATGATCTGGGAGATCATTACCTGGACTGTGGAGATCTTAGCAACGCTCTTAAATGCTACTCTCGAGCCCGGGACTACTGCACTAGTGCTAAACATGTCATCAATATGTGCTTGAATGTTATCAAGGTAAAACTTTGACCTCTTTCTGTGCTTTGTGCTGCTATGCTTTGTGTTTTGGCAGTAAAGCTCCTTAATACAGCTAAACTGTGATAACACTCTACCACCTCTGTCCATCCCACAGCCTTAAAATACAGTTGTTAAAAGAAGCTCTAAAATACTTAAAATGGTATTTAACTCAAAATTAAAAAAAAAAAAAAGAAGCAGGGTTTTTGTGAAAGAAGAGACTTAATGATATCTTGGGCGGCACAGTGGCTTAGTGGTTAGCACGTCTGCCTTGCAGTAAAATGGGTCATGGGTTCGATTCCCGACCATGGCGCCTCCTGCATGGAGTTTGCATGTTCTCCCTGTGCTTGCATGGGTTTCCTCCGGGTGGTCCGGTTTCCTCCTACACTCCAAAGACATGCTGGTAGGTAAATTGGCCCTAATATGTGTATGTATGAATGTAAGTTAGGGACCTTAGATTGTACACCCCTTGAGGGTTAGGGACTGATGTGAATGTACAATATATATGTAAAGCACTGTGTAAATTGACAGCGCTATATAAGTACCTGAAATAAATATCTTCTGTCATAAATGCTTTCCCCTGCCTGTCAGCGGTAATGTACATTGAGCTATGCATTAACAGCTCTGAATACATTTTTGACACCTGCTCTGCACCGTGGTGAAGTGCCTCCCATGTACGTGCGTGGTAGTGAGGTCGCAGCCTGGCCATTCAAGTTGCCAAACAGAACAAATACAGAAGGAAGACCAGGAGAAGTAGAAAGCACTTGAGCACTGACCACACAGAGCTGGAGTTCATCCTTTGACAGATAAGTCTGTCATATTGTGCTAGTGTGCATACAAGCACATTATAGTTACATAGTTAGTCTGGCTGACAAAAGACAAAAGTCCATCCAGTTCAACCATTAAAAAAAATGTTAAAAAAAGTTATCCTATACCCACAGTTGATCCGGAGGAAGGTTAAAAAAACCCAGCAAAGCATAATCCAATTTGCTCCTGCAGGGAAAAAAATTCCTTTTTAAACCCCCGAGAGGCAATCGGATATTCCCTGGATCAACTTTACCTATAAATGTTATATCCAGTTATATTCTGTGTATCCAAGAAAGAATCCAGGACTTTCCTACAGCAATCCACTGAGCTGGCCAGAACCAACTCTTGAGGGAATCTATTCCACATTTTCACAGCTCTCACTGTGAAGAAACCTTTCCATGTTTGGAGATTAAATTTCTTTTCCTCCAGATGTAAAGAGTGCCCCCTTGTCCTCTGTGATGACCTCAAGGTGAATAACTACACAGAGTTCACTATATGAACCACTGATGTATTTATACATGGAGATCATATCCCCCCTCATGCATTATACATGGAGATCATATCCCCCCTTATGTATTATACATGGAGATCATATCCCCCCTTATGTATTATACATGGAGATCATATCCCCCCTTATGTATTATACATGGAGATCATATCCCCCCTTATGTATTATACATGAAGATCATATCCCCCTTATGTATTATACATGGAGATCATATCCCCCCTCATGCATTATACATGGTGATCATATACCCCCTTATGTATTATACATGGAGATCATATCTCCCCCTTATGTATTATACATAGATATTATATCCCCCCTTATGTATTATACATGGAGATCGTATCCGCCCTTATGTATTATACATGGAGATCATTTCCCCCCTTATGTATTATACATGGAGATCATTTCCCCCCTTATGTATTATACATGGAGATCATATCCCCACTTATGTATTATACATGGAGAACATATCCCCCCTTATGTATTATACCTGGAGATCATATCCCCCCTTATGTATTATACATGGTGATCATACCCCCCCTTATGTATTATACATGGAGATCATATCCCCCCTTATGTATTATACATGGTGATCATACCCCCCCTTATGTATTATACATGGAAATCATATCCCTCCTTATGTATTATACATGGAGATCATATCCCCCCTTATGTATTATACATGGAGATCATTTCCCCCCTTATGTATTATACATGGAGATCATATCCCCCCTTATGTATTATACATGGAGATCATATCCCCCCTTATGTATTATACCTGGAGATCATATCCCCCCTTATGTATTATACATGGTGATCATATCCCCCCTTATGTATTTATACATGGAGATCATATCCCCCCTTATGTATTATACATGGAGATCATATCCCCCCTTATGTATTATACATGGAGATCATATCCCCCCCTTATGTATTATACATGGTGATCATATCCCCCCTTATGTATTATACATGTATTATACATGGTGATCATATCCCCCCTTATGTATTATACATGGAGATCATATCCCCCCTTATGTATTATACATGGAGATCATATCCCCCCTTATGTATTATACATGGAGATCATATCCCCCCTTATGTATTATACATGGAGATCATATCCCCCCTTATGTATTATACATGGAGATCATATCCCCCCTTATGTATTATACATGGAGATCATATCCCCCCTTATGTATTATACATGGAGATCATATCCCCCCTTATGTATTATACATGGAGATCATATCCCCCCCTTATGTATTATACATGGAGATCATATCCCCCCTTAATCTCCTCTTCTCAAGAGAGAATAAATTCAGTTCCTCTAATCTTTCCTCATAGCTGAGCTCCTCCATGCCTCTTATCAGTTTGGTTGCCCTTCTCTGTACTTTCTCCAGTTCCCCAATGTTCTTTTTGTGAATTGGAGCCCAAAACTGAACTGCATATTCAAGAAGAGGTATTACTTATGATTTGTACCGGAGGAAATTATATATCTCTCTCTGGAACGGTATAAACCTGCAGGGGCCAGAAAAAGTTTTTTTAGTAATACCATTTTAACATGCCTTGGGAAATTGCTACTGAAGGATCCACTGTGTTTGGTCAGTTGTTCAAATGTCTAGGTCCTTGATTATTTTTGCTGAAGTGAGAGATCAGCATTGTAAACTCTGGTTTTATGTGATTTATCTTGCTATAGGTCAGTGTTTACCTCCAAAACTGGTCCCATGTTCTCAGCTATGTCAGTAAAGCAGAATCAACACCTGAAATTGCAGAGGTGAGTTCCCCAGCATGCGTTGTACTAAGTGTCTTGCTTCTTCTCTCAAAGCTGTATTAAACCTTGAAGGACCGCTTTACTGAGGGAATTATATTGGATTCTATGGTTGACTAGTTGCTGGCTGTCACTGATTCCGTGGCTTTAAGACAATGATTTTCTAAAGGAATAGAGGCTGTTTACTTAGTAAAATGTACCTGAAGCTAAACACATATATTGCAGGAATATATTTGTTTACTACACAGGTGTCTGAGAAACGTTGCTACTTGTGTCACAGCAGTCCCATTTATTAGGAAGCACCTGGGGATCTTTCACGTTCTCCTTTATCCTTGTGTCTTACGTACTGCGCGAAGCACAGAAATAGATATTTGTGCTGGTCTGGTCAGTTTGCATGCTGATCGAAGCTACAGGATTCTTTGTAATACCTGTAGTCAGCCTTTGCTTTGATACACAGCGATGACAGCAGGGAAGTCCTTTTCAGACCCAGTGCACATGGATGTGGAATGTACGTCCACGTTGCACAGTGAACATCTGTTACGTTGAGTAAGGTAGTTCTCTGATACATATCAGTCAAACTAGTATGTAAGAAAAAGGAAGACCACAACCATAGGATTAAACTGTTCCTCCCAGTTCTGTCTTGGAAATGACCTGAAAATGATGCTTGATTCATGTGTCTAAACCTGTAATTTTGAACTGATATTGCCATCAGAGCATTAAAATATAATTAGGGGCAACATTTGTTTTAAAAAGACTGAAGAGGGATTAGGACACCTGTCAGGTTATTATTGCTATCTCTTGTTATGGAGATTCACCTTCCCTATTTGTCCTGTTTACCATTATCACTGAAAATGAAATCAAAAGAAAATCCCAAAAAGGTGAGAAGAGAGTCTCTACCAGGTTCAGTGCTGTCTATGTCATTCCCACTTGCCGTGGGGGGGTCACTCCGTCTGCTGAGGGGTCTTGAGCAAAGAGCCAATCACCACACGTATAAAAGAAAATCCCAAACTTTGAGTTGTCACTGGAACAGGAAGAGATGGAAATCTGGTTCTGGTGATCATGGTGCCAACCAGGGATTTCCCTATTTTTAGAGGCATTTCGTCTTACGTCCTCTTTTGGCTATCGGACAGGAAGTGAAAGGAAATCTCCTTAATGGCCCATACCCCGGAAGCAAACAAAAAAAACCCTCCCTTCTGCTATGCAATGTTTTGGCTTTAGTTCTGATTTAAATTCAGTGTGGCAGCTGTAGAATCCTCCGTTACATTCCTACCAGTCACCCTATTTTTCGGTTTGCTGTCCCTGGGTTTGTTGGTCTCATCTGAGGGTTCCAGTTTCCTCCCACCGCCATGATCACTTTGGTAAATTAATTAGCCTTGGATCCAGTTGGCCATGCTATGTATGCCCTGACGATTATAAACTCCACTCAGGCAGGAACTGTAATGAGCAATTCTCTATCAATAGCTACAGAATATGTCAGCACTGTTTTATTAACAACAACAATAACAATAAATAACACCTTTTTAAACTAATTTATTTTCCAGCAACGGGGAGAAAGAGACAGCCAGACCCTGTCAGTGCTTACAAAGTTAAAGTGTGCTGCAGGTTAGTAGTTCCATTTTCTGGGCTGTGTGTACTCCAGGTCTAGTGGGTTGCTTGGTGAACTGAGTACAGACGTACAGAAGATGACGGCTCATGTTGGTGATGCTATACAGCAGAATCTTTTGCATAATTTTGTACAATGTATTTTTTTTGCATACATTTGAATGAATAAAGAATGTTTAACGTATATTTGCTTCTTTTATATAGTACTTGTCTATGAAGATTGTATACAGTTGTGCTCAAAAGTTTACATACCCTGGCAGAAATTGTGAAATTGGGGCATTGATAATGAAAAATATGACTGATCATGCCAAAAAATGCTCTTTTATTGAAGGATAATGATCATATGAAGCCATTTATTATCAAATAGTTGTTTGGCTTCTTTTTAAATCATAATGATAACAGAAATCACCCAAATGGCCATGATCAAAAGTTTCCATCCCCTGGAATGTTTGGCCTTGGTGCAGACACACAAGGTGACACAAAATGCAAGTTAGAGGTTAATGTCCCACATCTGTGGCTTTTTGAATTGCAAATAGTGTCAGCGTATAAATAGTCAATGGGTTTGTTAGCTCTTACGTGGAAGCACTGACTAGGCTAGATACTGATCCATGGGGATCAGAAAAGAACTGTCAAAAAAAGTCCTGCATAACAAGGTAATGGAACTTTATAAAGATGGAAAAGGACATAAAAAGATGTCCAAAGCCTTGAATATGCCAATCAGTACTGTTAAATCACCTATTGAGAAGTGGAAAGTTCGGGGATCTCTTGATACCAAGCCAAGGTCAGGTAGACCAAGAAAGATTGCAGCCTTAACTGACAGAAGAATTGTTCGGGATACAAAGGGAAACCCATAGGTAACCACAAGAAGAATACAGGCTGCTCTGGAAAAAGACAGTGTGGTTGTTTTGAAGGAGCACAATATGATGACACTTGAACAAAAATGAGCTGCATTGTTCGAGATGCCAGAAAGAAGCTTTTACTGCATCAATGACACAAGAAGGCCCGGTTAGGTATGTCAAGGTGTTGTCAGGCATATTGTAACCGGGCTTTTTTGTGGCATTGATGCAGTAAAAGCTTCTTTCTGGCACCTTGACCAAACAGCTCATTTTTGTAACTAAAAGATATAGATAGTGTTTTGGGTTTTTTTTTTCTACAATAAAATATATTGATATTGTGTATACCAAGATGTTTTTTTTTATTTAGGTCTAAAGAAATCAAACATTTAAAGACTATACATCCCCTTTAATGCTGTTTCTGGTTTCAGGCCTGGCAGAATTAGCTGCACGTAAATACAAACAGGCAGCAAAATGCTTCTTGCTGGCATCGTTTGATCACTGTGACTTTCCAGAGGTAAGTTTCTATCCTAATCAACCTGTGCAATGTACTCAAATACAATGGAATTCTACTTGTAGTGATCACGCACTATTCTGCCTCTCTACAGCTGCTTTCCTCTAGTAATGTCGCTGTATATGGGGGACTTTGTGCACTGGCCACTTTTGATCGCCAAGAACTTCAGAGAAATGTAATCTCTAGCAGGTCAGTTGATCTTTTAAGTCACTGGTTTTAAAATGGCTTGCCTGTTTGTTTCTGGTGGTACCTCCAGTCAGCTACTTAAAAACGGGTCTGTAAGCTACAGTCCAGCCTAACCGCCGAGACCTCCAGCTGTTCACCAAGGTGATGCTTTATTGTACCAGCCACCTACTGTTTTGTGATTGGAACACCCATTTTGGTTAACTGTTTGGGAACACCTCCTCTGCATTACAAACATCTATGTTATTCACTGTCTTTCATACATATTACAGGATATCATATTGTCAGAATTAGTCCCCTTTCACATGGGCAGACTCCATCAGCAGATCCACCTGCTCAGTGTGAGATCTGTCAGCTGATCCCCTCTGAGCAGGTGGATGACAGGTCTGTGTCCGCTCTGCTTATGCAGAGTGGATATGGACACAGCCTGCTTTCCTCTATGGGTGATCAGATGTAAACAAACCTGTCTGTTTACCTTCCACTGTCATCCAATCCACTAGACAGACGGGGAAGAGATACCCGTCTGTTTTTTAGTGGATTGGATCGGATGCAGACGGGTGTAAATGCACACATGTCCGTTTACATCTGCCGCTTCATAGAGGGCAATAGATGGTCTGATCAGGTCCGCCTGAAAAATAGACAGGCGGACCTGATTGGTCTGCCCATGTGAAAGAGGCCTTAAAGTAGCACTCTGGGTGGATATAAAGGACACAAATTAACGTAGATCTGTATTATTCAAAGTGATAAAGTATATATATATAATATTTTTTTTTTAAATACAATGAGGTCCTACCAGGGGCAGACTGACCATTTGGAAACTCGGGCACTGCCCGAGGGCCCGGGGTCAGTAGGGTGCCCCATGAGATGCCCCTGGTACCTTTTTCATGGCTTTTTTGAGTTTGGGCAAGGACACACGGGCCCCATGATCCCCTATTCCCCGGGGGCCCCATGAGTTGTCGGTCTGCCCCTGGGTCCTACTTGTCTGTTTTGTGCAATGATATTGCACAAAAGCACAGTCTTCTGGTCATCCCCTTCCAGCGCTGCCACCTTTTCCCTGTTCCAGATGCCTCCCTGGGAAGCCGGGCGCTAAGGAGGCACCCATACGTACACGCTCCTGAGCCAAGCTCTATAGAGACCGCAGCGCCAGTAAGTCAGCCCCCGCTCCCTCCTCACAACAGTTTGACTGACAGCAGTAAGAGCCTATAGCTTCCACTGCCCTCAATTTCTAGTTCAAAAACTACAGCTGAGATACCATTGGGGCAGTGACATGAAGCCAGGTAAGTGTTTAGTGCCGGTGGGGCTGGGAAAGAAAGTGGGGTGTTGTTTTACCTCTTGCAATCCATTTACAACAGAGCTCATAGAGGATTAGGGAGAAGCAGCCAGTCAGTTTTACTGAAGCGCTGATGTGCTAACGCAGGAACATAAGTAGCAGAGGAGAGCAGAGTGACAAATGAGCTTATGTATCTGCTGCATCACCTTTCACAGTCCAGTCACAGGCTGATGGAGGGACAAGACCTTTAAGTGTCGCTGATCTGTAGCAGACAGAGATAGGGCCTCCTGCCATGATAGACAGGGCTGTACTGTGTGGCATAGGTGTGTACATCTCAGAACTGGATGGACAGAAACCCTTGGCAGGTAAGACCACACTGATCTGTGTATTTCATCTGTATATTTAGCAGTGCGCCAGTAGTTGAGCTTTAAGAAGCACTAATCTGAATAAAAATTACCCTGAAGTAGAACTATAAGTCAAACATTTTTTTTTTTTTTTTCATTTTGGATAGAGTGAGGGAGGGTTATGATCCTTATCAGTTTATTTTTTTCCCATCTCTGTCCCATTGGGGTGATTTCCCTTCACTTCCTTTCCCATAGCCAAAACAGGAGGTGAGAGAAAATCCCTGCAAATTTAAGGGATTTTCTTGGGGACCCCAGGTCACCAGAACTAATGTCCCCATTGAAGAATTTCCCCTCCTATTACTTTTCTGGGGACAGCCCAGAATTTGGGGTTTCTTTTACTTTCAATGATAGTGCTAAACAGGATAGAGACGGAGATTCTCCCTAATGGTTATTGCACAGACCTCAATAAAAACTGTCCGGGGGTCTAATCTAATCACACTCTCCACTCTGTCCAAAACTAAAAAAAACAGTTTTGCTTTTTAGTTATAATTTTAAAAGTTTTCAACTTGCTTGGTGATCCTGTGGTTGCACATGACAGGATTCAGGAAGCAGATCTATCCACACCATTTTAGGATTCTGACTGTAGAGAATTTTCTCAAACTGAGATTTACAGATTGGGATGCGTCATCAGGATTTATTTATGGGTCCCCAGAATGCCAAACTATTGTTTTGGAAACCATGGTTTTTATTCTTGGTATAACTACAGAAAATCCCCAGAGCAAACAAACCGCTCCCTAAAGGTGATGGCATTCTCCAAAATGTTGAGTATTACCGCCTCAGTGCAGAGTCTTCAAAGTACTGTATGTTTTACTTTGGAGCACTATTATTTTGTAGGTAATCTTGTCCAGCTGAAAATTGTCTGATAAGAACTCATGACCATTGTTAGTGGTGCACCGATATATCAGCCGCCAAAAAGTATCGTCTAAAAATAGGGTTATCTGCATTTTGCTGATAGAAAAAAAAAGTGCCGTTTGATAATTGACTTCAATGCAAAATCACGTCCCATTAACTTCAATGCAAAAAAACCTCCCATTGACTTCAGTGCAAAATCGCGTCCCATTGACTTCAGTGCAAAAACGCCTTCTATTGACTTCAGTGCAAAAATGCAGTTTTTTAATTTTATATATATTTAATTTGAGTTTCTGTCCAATTTTTTGTGTTACTTTTAATGAAAGCTATTTTATGTTAGTGGATTGTATTTTTAAATTCATAATCATTTAAATTCATTATATTAATTTGAATATAATACAATTTTATATAAAAAATATATTTACAAAAGCAACCTGTCTATTTCGGTTTTCGACCAAGTGCATCCTGATTTTTCGGTTTAAGTCCAGAATTTTCATTTCGGTGCAACACTAACCGCTATATTGGTGTTTGATAGATTTTTGGTTGTTTACAGTGTGTGCGCTTGAGGTGATGCACTAGCTGAATGTGGGTGGACATTTCTTTGCATGGCTATAAAACTGTTGCGTTTTATCTCCTACAGTTCTTTCAAGCTGTTTCTGGAGTTAGAGCCTCAAGTCCGTGATATCATCTTTAAATTCTATGAATCAAAGTACGCCTCCTGTCTAAAGATGCTGGACGAGATGAAGGTAATTGTGTACGTTCCAACCCATGGAGACATGGCTTGTGTGTGCTGAAAGTCATCTTGAGTTTGTCCTTGACTGCAGTTCTGATGATGTTGCATGATGTTTTATGTGGCATGACATGACTTTGTGCAGTCACTGCTGGTTTCCAACAGATTTTTTTATTCCCACACAAGTCTTTACAGATGCACAACCTTCCAAAAGCAGGTTAAATGCAGGTCAGAAGGAAATCAGCTGCACCTCTCAATGAATTCTGAATGAACACAGAATCATCTCAAACTGATGCCATCAACACAAACCCACCAGCTGTTGACACTGGCCCTTATACTTACTTAATAGGATAGATTCTGAAGTTTGAAGGACCCACCAGCTTCTTATACCTATCTGGGACCCTGGGTGTAAAATCTCCCCCAGCTCATCTACCTGTTGGGACCATTATGAGGAGTGTTTCACTCTTTCTGTTCGTTTTCATGAATTTAAGATTTATTGAGAATATTTTAGTTCTTCCAGCTGCAGTTGTTTACTAAAGGTTCTACTTCAATAGCTGATCTCCACAATATTTTTTATTCTACCACATTGAAAATCTTTCAAAGAAACGTGACACTGTTGTTAAAGCTGAAGGCATCCAAATGCACCATACAAATACACTGCAATAAAATTAAAGGAACACTTTTTTAAATTTCAGTATAGCATCAAATTTAACAAACATGTACACTTCTCAAAAAAATAAAAAATTAAAGAGAGACTTTTTTTATAGCATCAAGTCAATGAAACTCATGGGATATTGATCTGATCAGTGAAGTAGCAGAGGGGGTTGTTTTATCAGTTTCAGCTGCTTTGGTGTTAATGAAATTAACAACCGGTGCACTAGATGGGGCAACAATGAGACGACCCCCAAAACAGGAATGATTTTACAGGTAGAGGCCACTGACATTTTTTCCCTACTTATCTCTTCTGACAGTTTTTCACTAGTTTTGCATTTTGTTAAGGTCAGTGTCACTACTGGTAGTATGAGGCCATACCTGGACCCTCAGAGGTTGCACAGGCAGTCCAACTCCTCCAGGATGGCACATCAATATGTGCCATTACCAGGAGGTTTGGTGTCTCCCAGCACAGTCTCAAGAGCATGGAGGAGATTCCAGGAGACAGGCAGAGCTGGACAGGGCCGTAGAAGGTCCTTAACCTATCAGCAGGACCGGTATCTGCTCCTTTGTTCAAGAAGGAACAGGATGAGCACTGCCAGAGCCCTACAAAATGACCTCCAGCAGCCCACTGGTGTGAATGTCTCTGACCAAACAATCAGAAACAGACTTCATGAGGGTGGCCTGAGTTCCCCATGTCCTCTAGTGGGCCCTGTGCTCACTGCCCGGCACCATAGAGCTCAATTGGCATTTGCCATTGAACACCAGAATTGGCAGGTCCTCCACTGGCGCCCTGTGCTTTTCACAGATAAGGACAGGTTCACCCTGAGCACATGTGACAGACGTGGAAGGGTCTGGAGAAGCCGTGGAGAACATTATGCTGCCTGTAACATTGTTCAGCATGGCTGTTTGGGTGGTGGGTCAGTGATGATCTGGGGAGGCATATCCATGGAGGGACGCACAGACCTCTACAGGCTAGACAATGGCACCCTGACTGCCATTAGGTATCGGGATGAAATCCTTGGACTCATTGTCAGACCCTACGCAGGTGCAGTGGGTCCTGGGTTCCTCCTGGCGCACGACAATGCCCGGCCTCATGTGGAGTATGTAGGCTGTTCCTGGAGGATGAAGGAATTGATACCATTGAATGGCCCCCACGCTTGCCTGGCCTAAATCCAATAGAACACCTCTGGGATGTCATGTTTCGGTCCATCCGACGCCACCAGGTTGCACCTCAGACTGTCCAGGAGCTCAGTGATGTCCTAGCCCAGATCTGGGAGGAAATATCCCAGGACATCATCCGTCATCTCATTAGGAGCATGCCCTGAGGTCAGGGATGCATACAAGCACGTGGGGGCCATACAAACTACTGAGGACCAGTTTGCGTTGCTGCAATGAAATTTCAGAAAAATGGACTCGCCTGCTGCATCATTTTTTCACTTTGATATTTGGGAGTGTCTTTGGAGTCAGTCCTCTGTAGGTGGATAATTTTCATTTCCATCAAACGATGGGGCATCTTTACGTTCCTAATACATCACCCCGTCCATATCAGTATAGATATCCAGCAGGAGATTTTTTTCCCGTTGAAATCTGATGTGTTTTCAGAGTGTTCTTCTGGCAGTGTCTTAACCACTTCCTCTGCTGGACAAGCTCCTCAACCCCTGCCCTCACCTCCCTGCATTACCTTTTATGTAGCTGCCAGGTTAAGAGTGAAGGGGTATACTAATAGAGTGTCACTTGAGTGACAGCCCTGAGTCTGCTGGGGCTGCTAACATCACACCCAAGATGGTGGCGCCCAGCAGCAGTCCCTTTTGGATGTCTACATGAGGGAGGCTTTTACAGGTAAATATCATGCATAAAATGTTAAATTCACCTTTGATCTAATTGGATGTTTTTTGCTAAAATAAATGATCTGGAGACGGTCACTTTTAGCTGAAAAGAATAAAAGAATCCTTGAACTAACACACAGTAGAGATAACTATCTACTAGTCTATCTAAAAGTATTGAAATGATGGTGCCTGGAGTTGTGCTTTACGGTAAATCATTTCAGCAAATCCTATTGTGTTTGTCTCTGAAAAACCTTTCTTCCTTGTATAATTTTATAATTCTGTTTTCTGCCCCTGCAGGATAATCTTCTTCTGGACATGTACTTGGCTCCTCACGTCCGAACACTTTATACTCAGATCCGAAACCGAGCTCTTATACAGGTATCCCCTCCCTGTGCTGTGGTTTAGTCAGTTGATTGCTCTTTTGATGCTAACTGCTGGCTGTGCTCTTCCCGCTGTTGTTTCAGCCGGGTCTGTTGCACCATGTTGTGTTTCATTCTCACCGCCTGCTGTGACTAAGCCTTTTGCTTCCTGGCCTACCAGCCGGCATCTTTGTGTCGTCTTTATTTGTTATTTACTTACCTGCTCCACTGTGCATGTATTGCTTTTGGCAGCTTAGATCTGACTTGAAATTGTCTATTGCTAGCAACACACGTCCATTTAAATTGCATCTCCTATTCTTATTGGATGAGCTTTCAGCTGATACTGTTCATTGTATAGGAAAGTGACATAAGCACCATTTTCTTTTCTGGCCATTGACTGACACAGCCTGATGACTGATAGGCACTTCTCTGGACGAGATCGGTAAGAACAGCACTGATGGTAAGAGTACCTTTCTGCCTCGGGTTTGGAAGGGCTAGGAGCCGCAGCGTAAACCTGGCTTCCCCTTCTTCTTCGCACACAAATGGGTTTTCGCAGCTAAGGTTCCTCCACCAAAGACAAGTCCCCCGTTTCTTCTGAAGCCAAGCATACATGGCAGCCCAAGGCCTCCATACCTGCTGAAAAGCCCACCTCCACATAAAGGGATGCCCTCACTTAACTCCAGGTGGGAAAATGTCTTCTGTTGTCAGTAGATCACTGGCTGTCTGTTATCCCATTCCAATGGGTCCCGGAGGTGGTTTCCTCTGACTGCAAAGGAGAGTTCTCGTTCTTCCTTCCAGGTCTTTTCCTTCATATTGCACCTTTCCCGTCAGCATCTGGTCAACTTGCATTTGGTGGTTCAAGGGTTCCTGGATCACCCCTACTGATGTTTTTTACTTATCCCATCCAGAGAATTGCCTATCTGTCATGAGGATCTGGTCATGTCCGTCAAAGTCAGAGAAAAGGATTTTACGGCAAGTACATTAAATTTGTTTCTTCAGATACAAAGGGATGTAAAGCCCGTGTTTTATGTTCTGCTGCACGCATGAACAAGAAATGGACAGCTTATATCAGTGAAGTCGATTCAAAGCTATTGAGAAGAGTCTTACCCCCCTGGTTGCTTTCCATCTCATCGCAGCAGCACACTGACATTAGTAGATTAGAACTGAAACTGTGCAGATCAGGTTCACGCTGCTTGATTGCTGTCGGAGCAATTTGTTGTTTCCAGATCATCATATAATCATCAGTTTTTCTTCCTTCTTCTGAAGAGAGAGCTAATAGGTCTTCGAAAGTATTTTGGATAAATACAAAACTTGTTTTGACGTGGAAGCAATGTAAATAAGTTAAAAAAAAAATTACTCCTGTTCACATATGAACTAAATCTACTGAACAGTGCATCCTCCTTCACATTGTATTGTTGACTATCCTGGCTAAAGCTTACACACTTAAAGAAATAGTTCACCTTTTCAGAAAAAAAATGAAAAGGTGAACTAACACCCTACACCGTCTCTACCCCCTCTGTCCCCGCTTTACTTGCTTTCATGGGTGATAAGTAGTCAGTGTATCGGTCCGGGAATTTGAATTCCCTGTTCTTGTTCTCTTTCTCTCTGTAGGATTTCCAGGATGGATCAGAGATATTCTGATTGGTCAGTTCTGACACTTAACCACTTCGGCCAATCGAAATTACTCTAATCCATCCTGGAAACCGTACAGAAAGAAGAACGAGAATTTCAAATCTCTGCACGGCTACATTGGCTGCATGAGCACTTAACAGCTCATCACCCATGGAAGTAAGTACTGTGGGGAGGGTGTACAGTGTTCACCATTCTATTTTATTTTTTTATGAAAAAGTGAACTTACACTTTAAAGGATATCTAAACCTAAACACAAAAAAAAAAAAATAAAATATATATATATATATATATATATATATATATATATATAGCAGCTTACCAGTTTTAAGGTGTTGTGGCTGCATTAGTTTCCTTTTTTCAGGCCAAGTACAGAAATATAGTTGTTTATCTTATCAGAATTCCAATGCCTTTGCAACTTCCTGCCCACTGAGGTGATATATCAGAAGCCTGTGCTTGGAGGACGTGCCTAAATTGTAAGCATTTTTAGAACTGACTCCTGAAAAAACTGCGCCATTTATTGGATGCCCAGTCTGTCCCAACCCTGAAATCACTCTAGTTTAAGCAGCTCCTTATAAATTAGAGTTGCCATAGTGGGGTATAGGAGCCATACCTCATACACACCTAGAGTAAACCTGACACAGGACCATAAGGTCCTATTAAATAGACTTTAAAGAATATGTAAACCCTCACCTTGTAAACGACATATTCAGTTTAAAATAGAAATGAAAGGCAAAACATTAATGCATACATATAAAAAACATTATAAACACCTTTTTCTCCTTTTTAATAAGTGATCGATCACGTTCTATGATTATATGAGAGAAGCCCTGATTATAGTGATTCCCAAACCTGGCAAGGACCCTTCTCTTCCAAAATCTTATCACCCTATGTCCTTATTACAGGTAGATCTTAAGATCTAGACTTAGGCAGGCCATAGACGGGCCAATATCGGCCGCATTTTCGGCCGATAAACGAAAAATCAGTCGGCCCCGTTGCCAATGCTGCCACCCATGTCCATGAAAAACAGACGGATTTTTCAGCATGACCGATAAAAATAAATGAGGAGATCCGTGAAAAACAGTCAACGGGCTGGCTCCACTAACGGCGTGATTATCAGCCGATTTTTCATACGGACGAAAATTCGGCTGATAAACAACCCGTCTATGGTCTGCATAACATTCTGGCCATGTGTCCTAATCAGGTTATCCTATCTCTTATACACTCTGACCAAACGGAATTCATGCCAGGTAAAAATACTGCCATGGACATTTGCCGATTATATATGATTATTCAAGTTTCTCATGTTGTAGTGGGTACCAGGCCGGTGATGGCAGTGAATGTCGCAAAAGGCGTTTGACTCCGTGGAGTGAGGTTACCTCTGGGAATGCCTAGGGGGATTTGGTTTTGGTCCCAATTTCATCAAATGGGTACAACTTCTATATTACTCCCCTATTGCCCGGGTAGCTGTAAACAGGTGGATCTCAGACTCCTTTTCTGGGTTGAGGAACCCGACAGGGTTGCCCCCTGTCCCCACGACTGTATTCACTTGCAACAGAACCCTTAGCCATCTCGCGCAGACTGCCTCTGGTTGGGACCCTAGTAGAAACCATAGGGAATGTATGCGGAAGATATGATACTCTACCTGGAGGATGCAGGCCACTTTACAGGTTAATGAGGATTTTGGAGCGCACTCTGGGCTGCGTGTCGATTAGAGTAAGTCATAAATCCACCTTCTAGACATCTATCTTCCATCATATATTTCTGGTTCCCCGCCTCTGCGCAGAGTTTCTACAATTCAGTTTTTAGGGGTTCATGTAACCAGGGATCTCCGGGATTATCCCACTCTCAACATTGAGCCTTTATTTACCATCCTGAAGGCACGCACTCAATCCTGGGCAAGACTCCCACTAGGGGTTATGGGGAGAATCAACCTAGTTAAAATGATCCTTCTGCCTAAATTCCTGTATATGTTTTGGCATTCCCTTGAACTGCTACCTTTGAAAACCTTCAATCAACGGAATCTTTAATTCCTTTATTTGGGGTTTGGGTAGGCATAAGCACCCCTGGCTCACACTTAAAAATCCCACCATGATTGGGGGGGGGGGGGTTGCGGCCCTCCCAGACTTTCATCCTTATTATTTTTCGACGCAACTTTTTCACGTTTACCACTTAAATAAATCTGAGGCCGCTCGGTATCTGGACCTGGTTTGTAGCCAACCAGGCTGTATGTTATTTTCCCCTCTACATGTGTTTTTACGGGGCGGTAGGCACTCCGGTGCCCCTGCAACACATGAACCGCTATTACACAATCATGAACACATTTGGGAGCTAGGTCTTAGACGAATGTATGCCCCTTCCTATCACTCCAATGTTCCCCTCTGGCATAACCCCCAACTGCCTGAACTAATCACTATTCCTAACCCTGAGACATGGATCTCTAGGAGGGGTCATGCATGTATATCAGGTACTAATGCCTTCCAGGCTCAAGCCATTCCAAACCCTAAAATAGGAATTTGAACTCCCCAACCATATGCTATTCAGATACCTACAGTTACAACACACCCTGCAGGCCCAGTTTCCTGCAAGCGCCCCCCTTCTCCAGTCCCTCTCTCTGTTAGATGTTGTTTTATATACTGAGCCTACCAAACTAATTTTGGTTCTATACACTGCGTTACGCACCCCTACGGTGACCTGCTTAGTAGTGCCAAATCCCGTTGGGAGCCGGATGTCGGGCCATTGGAAGCAGAGGCGTGGGACAAGTTATTGGACGGCTGCTCTCACCAAGACTTCTCCAGCTCTATATAGTGCACCAAGCTTACCTCAGCCCATGTAGAGTCTCCAGATTTTGCCTTGAACAGAGCCCATTGTGCCCCTAATTTCTAAGGGAAACTACCTTTTTTATATTTAACATTCTCTTTAATCTACTTTTCTGTACTTCTATTTTTATTTTAATATTGATTTAAATTTTTATTTTTTTTTTTTTTTTTATTTTTATCTGGCGAACGGCGCTCTCCCATTTTAGACCATCTCCAGCTCTATATAGTGCAACCAAGCTTACCTCAGCCCAGTAGAGTCTCAGATTATTAGCCTGAACAGAGCCCATATGCGTGCCCCTAATTTCTAAGGGTACCTTTTTTTCATCTATTATGGTCTTTTCCAGATATTCAGATATACTGGGAGCAAATTATCATGTTCTTGCATGATCACATGGGCTCTCCTCTACGATTAGATCCCAAGTCATGCCTGCTTGGCCTCCTCCCGGACCTTCCTGAGGACAAGTTCCTTGTTACCCTTCTATATGAGACCATTTTTAGTGCTCGGAAATTAGTTGCATGCGCCATTAGATGCAGGCGACACCTCCAACCCTTCAGGCATGGTTGATTGAAGTTAATGCCACGCTTTTTTTTTTTTTTTTGCTGCTTTGAAAGTTTATACTTGTTGTATAGTGTGTATCATTTACTGTGGAATCTGTTGTGCAAGTGTACCTTCTTTTACTTTTTTGTCAATAAAGTTCTTGTAACATAGAAAAAACAAAACAGTGTTTGATGGAAAGGTGTTGCCTCTGTTCTGCTCATCACTCCTCTCTTCTGGGACTAAGTGATAATCTTTGACAGCTTTTTAAGGCCACTGTGACATCCTGATGACTTCTATGTGTTCTTTGTGCCACTCTAGAGAATTCTTGTTCTACTAGCTTAGCAAATTTTGTTGTGACTCTTAGGCTGAAAATGTGTGACAAAAGGATTCAGCACATCACCAAATCCAAAATATTCTCTGCAAGGAGGGAATAGAATCCAGTGCATTACCTAGTGAAAGCGGCACACACAGTAAACATTACACATAGTTAGGCACACAGTTAACCCCTTGATCACTCTAGATGTTTAACCCCTTCCCAGCCAGTGTCATTAGTACAGTGTGTTAGTGCATATTTTTAGCACTGATCACTGCATTGGTGACACTGGTTCCCATAAAGTGCCAGTTAGTGTCCGTTTGGCCGCCGCAATTATGCAGTCCCATTATAAGTCGCTGATTGCCGCCATTACTAGTATAAAAAAAAAAAATACAGTATATATACCATATTTTGTAGAAGCTATAACTTTTGCATAAACCAATCAATATACGATTATTGGGATTTTTTCAAAAAATAGGTAGTAAATTACATATTGGCCTAAATTTATGAAGCAAGTTGATTTCTTTAAATTTTTTATTGGATATGTTTTATAGCAGAAAATAAAAAATATATATTTTTTTCAACATTTTTGATCTTTTTTTGTTTATAGCGCAAAAAATAAAAAACCCGGATGTGGTCAAATACCACCAAAAGAATTTTGGCTCTATTTGTGGGGAATGAAATTACATAAATTTAATTTATGTTTAGCATTGCATGACTGTTCCAATTGTCAATTAAAGTAACGTAGCGCCGTATCACAAAAAAATGGCCTGGTTAGGAGGGGGGGGGGGTAAATCCTCCGGAGCTCAAGTGGTTAATGGAGCTCTGAATTCCCCCATATGTCCTTTATTGCATCTTTTAAAAACGCAAGCACTGCAAAGACCTGCATTTGACCTTGTCTATGCCTTTTGCAGTCCCTGTAGAGTAGAGCTCAGACTAGAGGAGATAGAACCAGCACAAGGATCCATTTAGCTATGCAGCAAAGGAGCAGGGTGACAGAGATGAGCTCATCAGTCTGCTGCTTCTCCAATGACAGGCTTGGAAGGGGGTTAAGACCTGTAAGAATTACTTTACTGCAGTGGAGAAAAATTAGGTCTCCTGCTCTGCCAGACAGGGCTGTGATATGTGACAAAGCTGAGTAAATCTCAGGACTGGATGGACAGAAATACAAATCCTTCAGCATGTACTCTAGGTAGGTAAAACTGCTTCCTGCAATTCTTCCTAAAGGAATCATTTCAAAAGAGACATAGCAGGGCACTTCTTCAGAAAATGCAGTCTGCCTGGCTGTCATTCTGGTGTTTTGGCTTCAGTATTTTTAGTCACAGTCAAGGAGCAAGTATAGAGAGAAATATTCCTGACTTCTTTTTTTCTGACTCTTGTGCTGCCTGCTTGTTCAAGGCTCAGAACTGATAGCACTCAGCCAATCCTGTGGCTCAGTGGTCAGCAGCACCAGCCTCCATACTCCTCTTATGACAGGTGCACTTAAAATAATGTACCCTTCACTTTCACATTGTGTATGTATGATATTATAAATGAATTATACATATGTATATATATATATATATATATATATATATATATATATATATATATATACATTATATATACATATATATATATATATATATACGTAATATATTATACGTATTATAAATGAATCCTTTGTTTATAGCATGCATCTGCCAGTATTCAAAATCAATCTCTATTTGCATTTTGCAGTACTTTAGCCCTTACGTTTCTGCGGACATGTACAAAATGGCCATTGCCTTTAACACAACTGTCTCCGCCCTTGAGGATGAGCTAACGCAGCTGATTCTGGAAGGGTTAATCAACGCCCGCATTGATTCCCACAGTAAGGTAAGAATTTCCAAGACTTGCCGTGATAGATGTTGGGATCCAAGAAATGCCAGTTAATGTGTTTTCATGTTCATTTGCAGATCCTATATGCCCGAGATGTTGACCAGCGCAGCACTATTTGAGAAATCATTACAAATGGGGAGAGAGTTTCAGAGACGAGCCAAAGCCATGATTTTGCGAGCTGCTGTTCTACGTAATCAAATCCACGTTAAGGTGAGTGCAAGTCATTTATTTCTCTTACCTTATGGATGTGTTTTTCAGGAGTAACAGTAAGGGGGTTAATCTACCCAAAACTGCTGTATACTTCAGCCTTTGGTAGATGCTGAAGAGCAACACCACCTGGCAGTGTCTTATGTCTCTCTGGGACCTTATTGGCAAGATGTGCAAAGAGTTCCTTGGTCTTCACACCTGATCTGTCTATTATGAGGGGCTCCCACCATCTGCTAGATTTCTATTTATTTTAAATAATGGGGAATGTACCGGGATGAGCTGAAACATGCAAAGGTGGGCAGGAACACCCCAACCTCCAAGGAGGACATGAACAGTGCGGGGAATTATGACAAAGGGACATCAATGTTGGGGTCTGCAAGATAATATAAGGAGCTGGTGGCCAACTCATTCCAAGAGACTTCAGGTTTAAATATCACATTTTAATGGACCAACCCTTCACCATATTGTATTTACTTTTTACTGTGATAGGTGTAAGAAGGTTAGATTGCAGTAGAGAAATAAACGCAGATATAAGTCCTCCATATATAGAAAAATGGGAAAGAGAAATAGGAGTAACAATACAGTGGGGATCGAAAGTTTGGGCACCCCAGCTAAAAATTTGTATTAATGTGCATAAAGAAGCCAAGGAAAGATGGAAAAATCTCCAAAAGGCATCAAATTACAGATTAGACATTCCTATAATATGTCAACAAAAGTTAGATTTTATTTCCATCATTTACACTTTCAAAATAACAGAAAACAAAAAAATGGCGTCTGCAAAAGTTTGGGCCCCCTGCAGAATTTATAGCATGCACTGCCCCCTTTGCCAAGCTGAGACCTGCCAGTGTCATGGATTGTTCTCAATCATTGTCTGGGAAGACCAGGTGATGTCAATCTCAAAGGTTTTAAATGCCCAGACTCATCTGACCTTGCCCCAACAATCAGCCCCATGGGTTCTTCTAAGCAGTTGTCTAGAAAACTGAAACTGAAAATAGTTGACGCTCACAAAGCTGGAGAAGGCTATAAGAAGATAGCAAAGCGTTTTCAGATGTCAATATCCTCTGTTCGGAATGTAATTAAGAAATGGCAGTCATCAGGAACAGTGTAAGTTAAAGCAAGATCTGGAAGACCAAGAAAAATATCAGACAGAACAGCTCGCAGGATTGTGAGAAAAAAACAATTCAAAACCCACGTTTGACTGCACGATCCCTCCAGAAAGATCTGGCAGACACTGGAGTTGTGGTACACTATTCCACTATAAAGAGATACTTGTACAAATATGGTCTTCATGGAAGAGTCATCAGAAGAAAACCTCTTCTACGTCCTCACCACAAAAATCATCGTTTGAACTTTGCAAATGAACATATAGACAAGCCTGATGCATTTTGGAAACAAGTTCTGTGGACCGATGAGGTTAAAATTGAACTTTTTGGCCGGAATGAGCAAAGGTACGTTTGGAGAAGAAGGGGCACAGAATTTAATGAAAAGGAACCTCTGTCCAACTGTTAAGCATGGGGTTGGATCAATCATGCTTTGGGGTTGTGTTGCAGCCAGTGGCACAGGGAACATCTCACGAGTAGAAGGAAAAATGGATTCAATAAAATTTCAGCAAATTTTGGATGGTAACTTGATGCCATCTGTGAAAAAGCTGAAGTTAAAGAGAGGATGGCTTCTACAAATGGATAATGATCCTAAACACGCCTCGAAATCCACGGGGGATTACATCAAGAGGCATAAACTGAAGGTTTTGCCATGGCCTTCACAATCTTCTGACCTCAACATAATTGAAAATCTATGGATAGACCTTAAAAGAGCAGTGCGTGACAGACAGGCCAGAAATCTCAAAGAATTGGAAGACTTTTGTAAGGAAGAATGGGCAAAGATACCTCAAACAAGAATTGAAAGACTCTTGGCTGGCTACAAAAAGCGTTTACAAGCTGTGATACTTGCCAAAGGGGGCAGTACAAGATATTAACTCTGCAGGGTGCCCAAACTTTTGCAGACGCCATTTTTTTGTTTTCTGTTATTTTGAAAGTGTAAATGATGGAAATCAAATTAACTTTTGTTGACATATTATAAGAATGTCAAATCTGTAATTTGATGCCTTTTGGAGATTTTTCCATCTTTCCTTGGCTTCTTTATGCACATTAATACAAATTTTTAGCTGGGGTGCCCAAACTTTCGATCCCCGCTGTAGATGCGGAAAAACAGAGGAAAATGTATAGAATAATCCACGGAAATATAAATATGCAGGAGGTAGTGGTGAATTGTGGGTGATTGGCAAGATGGTATATCACACCTAGTGTGGCACACAGATTGAGTGGAGATACTTCACCTTTATGTTGGCGTGGATGTGGAGGTAGAGGCACAATGTATCACATATGGTGGGAGTGTTCTAAAATGCAAGAGTATTGGGGGGGAAAATAGTAAGGTGGATATTCTAGTAGACCCAGAGATTTGCCTTTTTCATAGTACTAAGCTTTCAGTTAAAAAATACAAAGAATCTGGTTTATTGTACTGTTTGAATGCAGCAAAGGGACTGATACCCAAGTATTGGAGGAGGGTGGATCAAATATGTAAATTGGAGGAACTTTATCATTTGAATGAAGATAAGATAAAGAGTCACCATACAAGATGGAACAAATGGGAGGAATTCAAAAAGTCAAGGCTAGCCTTAGAGGTTATGGGGGTTTAACATAGAATAATATGGAAACACATTGTTTTCCTCTTTTTAGGGATTACGATCTCCAGAAATGAACAGGAAAATGCAGAGCAGAAGGGGTCGGGGTTTGGATGGGGGTGGGGGGGAAGGATGGGTGGTATATAGGTAGAGGATGGGGGGGGGGTGTGAAACGATAAATGTTTTGATAATATGCTAAGGTTTTAATGAGTATGTTTGTATAACTTATTTATCTGAAAAATTAATAAATATTTAAATTATAGAAAAAAAAAGGAAAAAAAAAAGATTGCAGTAGAGTTTAATGTAAAATACTGATTTTTCTGAGAAGCTTAAGTTGTTCCTGGCACATCTTACCTCCCAGCTTTGGCACAATTACTGGCAAACTGTATGAAAGAATACAGAGATAGACTAGGCTTTGAAGTTCAACCTATCCTGACCTTAAACAGAGCTGAAGTGTAGGCAACTTGTGGTTGCTGCCAGTACTTTCAGTGATTATCATTCTTGTGGCCCAGACCGTATTTGACGTGGGTCTCGACTTTTGCTTAAGTCAATATTAAAGCTTATGCCATGGCAAAAATTAAAAAAAAAAACATATTTGGTACATCTCTTTTAAACATATATGTTTTCTCGATAGTTTATACTTTTAAACACGCTACAAGTGAATAAAAAATAAATGGGTCATGGGTTCGATTCCCGACCATGGCGCCTCCTGCATGGAGTTTGCATGTTCTCCCTGTGCCTGCGTGGGTTTCCTCCGGGTACTCCGGTTTCCTGCAACACTCCAAAGACATGTAGGTAGGTTAATTGGCTCCAGTCTAAATTGTCCCTAGTATGTGTATGTATGAATGTGAGTTAGGGACCTTAGATTGTACACCCCTTGAGGGTTAGAGACTGATGTGAATGTACAATATACATGTAAAGCGCTGCGTAAATTGACGGCGCTATATAAGTACCTGAAATAAATAAATAAAATGATATGCCAGAAATATAGTGTGCTTCTACCTTCCTACCTTCTCGTCTCCTCCCTTATTTTCACCTCCATCACCCCACCTTTTCCAAAGCCAGATATCACAGACAGTTAAAGGCTCACAAGATTTCTGGGAAAATCAACAAGTATTTTTTTACACTTATTAGATATAGCAAAACCCCCTAAAATATTATATTGAGCAGACCACAAGGGAGCATATAGAAGGTATAAAGTGGAACTACACCCTCCTATCCTTTACAGCCAAGGAATCAAATGTCATCTTAGCGTCTTTTATCTGCGGTTGCTCTGATACTGCACATGTGGTCAGCTATGACACCAGTCATTTGCTGTCATGACAGTTCGGTTGAGAGCTAGAGGTTCAGTAGGCTGTTGAGGCTCTGGCATTTCATAGTCCAATGGCAGTAGTAGATAAGTGCTTCGCTAAAGGAGAGTGAATAGGGATTAATCTCAGCTTCACGCCCTGTGTAAAGTCCAAGTCCTGAATCCATGCAGCATTACACAAGGATACAGGAAGGGATTTAAAAAGAAGCACAGGTACGTGCGAGCACCACATGCTGTTGGGAATGTCTTAGGCCAGGTTCATTTTTAAAACATGACACTTCTGTAGTAGATCACTTCAACACTGAGACAGCTCTTATTAACATCCCCTACCCTCCTTATGGTTAACTTCAATTCAATATTAGATTACAGTTCTGGTGGACCTGACCCAAAATTGAGCCCTTTTGGGATGCTATTATGCCCTGGTGTCAGGACAGGAACGCTGGAATGGACAGGCAGGCCTATTAACAATGTAACGCACTGACTGACGACAACCATCACCCACAGACCGAAGTCCCTCAGGGCGCGGAGTCTAAGTCCCAGGCTGCCCTTCACCAGGGCCCCTGGTGGTGGGGATGGACTTGACGTAGCCAGGAACCAAGTCGCGGCCCCCGAGACACCCCAGTTGCAGTAATGGCCACCGCCAATGGCGTGTAGCTGGTGGAAAGGACAATAGAGTAGTCGGGCGGGCCGGGTCGACAACAACGGGACAAAACGGTACAGGACAGCAGATGAGAATCACAGGTCACGGGCCGGGTTCAGCAATGGAGGGTCAGATCAAAGGAGAATACAAAGAATGGTCGAGTCACAAGCCAAGTCAGATTCCAGGAGAGTCACGAGAGTCAGAACAGAGTTATAGCAACACCAAGACACAAGTGCAAAGAGCATGTGCTGGCCACAGGCTTATATGTAATCAGCCACACCCCTCTGCGGGATGGACCTCAGAGACCTGAAGGCATAAAGGATTCCCACCATGCTCTGCAGAAATGCAAGATGGATGCCAGCACATGGAGTAACATAACCTCTGGGAAAAGGTAGGACCTTGACACCTGGATTCGGAAATTGACGTTGAGTCCAATGGAGCAATCTCCCGTTTGTCTCCTCTTTTATGTGACTTCAACTTCTATGAAGGCCTATAAGCGTAGTGTCACTCCCCACCTCTTGAATGCGGCTAGATCTTTGATCCCTAGGTTCTGGAAACAATCTGTGTGTCCCACACTTTCTGATTGGAAACGGGAGGTAGATAAAATCATGGAAGCGGAGAAGCGGAGAGCTGGGTGTTACTGGTTAGAAGTCAAGGGGAGAAATATAAAGGTATCTGGCAAAGGGTGGATGTACTACTCCTCTGAGATACTGGTTGCCTAAGTTCATTTGGATAGATTGGACTTTTAATGTACAGTACACCTGTGTAATATGTGTTCTTGCTTGTTTAGTACTACAACAGAATTGTTTTAGTGGATTTTTGTTTTGTTTTTTTCTCACTTCTTTTTGTTCCTTTCTTTTTTTTTTTTTTTTTTTTTTTTGGAATATTGGAGTCACTATTTGCCATTGATATTCAAGCTATGTACGATTTTGGTCAAGGTGTTATGTTGTTATACATTTTATTGCTGTTTTCTTGACTGCTTGGCACATATTTGCCGATATTATTGCCTAATATCCCTAGAAAATGTTAATAAAGATTGATTTAAAAAAAAAATTAGATTACAGATGGTGAAGAATGAATTGATTTGAAGACCAGGTGAATCTGCAGATTATAGAAATCATTAATTCTCTATAAAATATACATGGACATATGTTCAGTCCTTAGACATACAATTCATGAATCCTGATTTCCTGGATTAAAATGTACTATTAACCACTGATTACCTGGACCTACATGGAAATATTAAGGTGAACCGTTACAGGTATCTGAAGCATATGTCTGGGCAAACAAATGCAGTACATCTCTGCAATACATTCACATTATACCTTGTTTTGTCTCCTTAAAAGTGCAGCAGGTACAGAAATATATCTATTGATGTGCCAGAAATCCATTGAGATCGTTACTTCCTACTGTGAACTGACAACGCTGTGTCTGCAAAATTGAAATCCCAAGTAATTTGGTCAGCCCTGCCTGAGTTCTCTCGTGTTAGCCTACCAAGCCTACTCCCTCTCCTTATTCCCGTAACATAGGAAACAGAAGTTCTGTAGTCCAAAGGCTGGGTAGGGCTGAAAAGGCCTAATGCACACTGGATATGTAGTCCCAGTGCATAAGGCTTCAGCGTTTAGGTGTGGGTGGAAGGTACAGGCCCTGCTGGCAGCAGCCTGTTAGACTCTGAGAGGCTATGGCCAAACAGGCCTGGGTGGTGCACCGAGCAATACATACAGTGAAGGAAATAAGTATTTGATCCCCTGCTGGTTTTGAATGTTTGCCCACTCACAAAGAAATAATCAGTCTAAAAATCGAATGGTATGTGTATTGTAACACAGAGACAGAATAGCAACAAAAAATTCAAAAGAAATGCATGTCTAACAAATTATGCACTGATTTGCATGTTCATGAGGGAAATAAGTATTTGATCCCCTATCATTCAGCAGGATTTCTGGCTACCAGGTGTCTTTCATACAGGTAACAAGCTGAGACTAGAAGCAGTCTCTTAAAGGGAGTGCTGCTAATCTCATTTTGTTACCTCTGTAAAAGACCCCTTTCCACAGGAGCAATCACACAATCAGATTCCAAACTCTCCACCATGGCAAAGACCAAAGAGCTGTCCAAGGATGTCAGGGACAAGATTGTAGACCTACACAAGGCTGGACTGGGCTACCAAACTATCGCCAAGCAGCTTGGTGAGAAGGTGACAACAGTTGGTGCAATCATTCGCAAATGGAAGAAACACAAAACAACTGTCAGTCTCCCTAGGTCTGGTGCACCATGCAAGATCTCACCTCGTGGAGTGTCAATGATCATGAAAACAGCGAGGAATCGTCTCAGAACTACACGTGAGGATCTTGTAAATGATCTCCAGGCAGCTGGGACCTCAGTCACCATGAAAACAATTGGTAACACACTACGCCGACAAGGTTTGAAATCCTGCAGTGCCCGCAAGGTCCCTCTGCTCAAGAAAGCACATGTCCAGGCCTGTCTGAAGCTTGCCACTGGACATCTGAATGATGCAGAGGAGGACTGGATGAAAGTGTTGTGGTCAGATGAGACCAAAATCCAGCTCTTTGGCATCAACTCAACTGGCCATGTTTGGAGGAGGAGGAATGCTGCCTATGACCCCAAGAACACCATCCCAACTGTCAAACGAGGTGGAAACATTCTGCTTTGGGGGTGTTTTTCTGCTAAGGGGACAGGACAATTGCACCTCATCAAAGGGACGATGGACGTGGCAATGTACCCGTCAAATCTTGTGTGAGAACCTTCTTCCCTCAGCCAGGACATTGAAAATGGTTTCGTGGATGGGTGTTCCAGCATGACAATGACCCAAAAAACACACAGCCAAGGCAACAAAGGAGTGGCTCAAGGAGAAGCACATTAAGGTCCTGGAATGGCCTAGCCAGTCTCCATAACTTAATCCGATTGAAAATCTGTAGAGGGAGATGAAAGTTCGAGCCAGTCACCAAACCTTAATGACTTGGAAAGGATCTGCCAGGAGGGGTGGGCCAAAATCCCTCCTGAGATGTGTGCAAACCTGGTGGCCAACTACAGCAAACATCTGACCTCTGTGATTGCCAACAAGGGATTTACCACCAAGTACTAAGTCATGTTTTGTGAAGGGGATCAAATACTTATTTCCCTCATGAACATGCAAATCAGTCATCATTTGTTAGACATGTATTTCTGCTGAATTTTTTGTTTGCTATTCTGTCTCTCAGTGTTACAATACACCGAACATTCGATGTTTAGACTGATCATTTCTTTGTGAGTGGGCAAGCATTCAGAATCAGCAGGGGATCAAATACTTATTTCCTTCACTGTACATTTAGTGCTGTATGCCCAAGGACAAATGTATTTATTTATTTCAGGTACTTATATAGCGCTGTCAATGTACGCAACACTTTACATATATATTGTACATTCACATCAGTCCCTAACCCTCAAGGGGCGTACAATCTAAGGTCCCTAACCCTCAAGGGGCGTACAATCTAAGGTCCCTAACTCACATTCATACATACACATATTAGGGCCAATTTAGACAGGATCCAATTAACCTACCAGCATGTCTTTGGAGTGTGGGAGGAAACCGGAGCACCCGGAGGAAACCCACGCAAGCACAGGGAGAACATGCAAACTCCATGCAGAGGCGCCATGGTCGGGAATCAAACCCATGACCCATTTACTGCAAATGCTTGGAATGCAAGCAGTGTGTGCTCCAGGCATTTGTCCCTAGGAGCATACTGCATAAAACGCAGGTACCGCTTGATGCGCATTCCTGCTCTGCCCTGCATTATAGCTGGACGGTGCACCTGTACCTTCCACCAATACCAAAATGCCAGAGTATCATGCATTGAGGCTAAACGACCCGTATGCCTGGCACTGCTTGGGATTTCAGTGAAGCAGAGGGTGCACAAAGTTAGGAGCTCACTGATCTAGCAGATCAACCGGTAATTTTTTGTTCCGTTACACTTTTAAAGGCATTAAAAATGGAGACATAATTTTATTTAATTTTTTTTCCTTTTCTGCTGAAAATGCTGTACATCTCTTACCAGTCTCTCACTAGACTCATTGTTACTTCTATTTTCAGTCCCCTCCTAGGGAAGGAAGCCAAGGAGAGCTGACCCCAGCTAATAGCCAATCCCGGCTCAGCACCAACATGTGAGAGTGTCGCTGCCCTGCACTCCTGGCCACTGACACGTCACGAGAAGAGTACGAGGGTGGTCAGACAATACCCCACAGGCATATGACATGTTCCACCCGCTTGCGTCACCTTCCCATAGGCTGCCTTGGCTGAGCTGTTGTTAAGAACTTGTCAGGAGCTGCATGGTTTATCTCATCAGTCTCAGTTTATTGGACGTGATCACCTTCGCTCTTTCTGGCCGAATTAGAGGAGTAGCGATGTAATGCTGTGTCTTCATCTGGACGTTTCCAGGCAGCAGCTGCACAGGGGCAGGCCGAAATTACGATTTGAGATGTAAACAGCAGGAAACAGCCACAGTGTCATCTCAGAATGAATGTTCCAAAGCGCATTCAGCAGCGTGTGTGCCCCTCTCAGCCTTTACGTCATCCAACAGGTTTTTTTTCTTTTTTTTTTTTTTTCCTTTGTTTCTCTGCCCCCCTCCCTTTCCTTTTCATTTCCTGTGCTTGTTGCCATCTCCCCTTTCTTCATGCTGTCTGCTGTTCTCTGAACATTAAACCCCCCAGTGAGTGGGCCGTTCTAAGTTTAAGATGCTGGTCCTGTTTTTTTTTTACCCTTCATGAAGACAGGATATACAGCTGCATTAGGATCCAATCAGAAGCTCCTCTTCCACCTTCAAAAAAAAAAAAAAAGAAAAAAAAAGTTGATATTTAAATGTTCCCTGTTACTTCTGGTTCTTGGTTTTCAATTAAACTTCTTGTTTTTGCGTTCTTTACTCTTTCATCATCACTTCGAGTCCTTTTTAGCACTTGTCCTGAAACAGAGCTGTGGTCTTTTCCTGGGAGCTCTCAAACTCTCCACCTTCTATGTTGACTCTAGTACAGCAATGGGCAAACTATGGCCCGCAAGCCGTATACGGCCCGGCGGACCTTTTAATCCGGCCCGCGGAGCGTGCTAAAAAAAAACACAGCCAGGGCAGGCAAACATCGGCTGTCAGGATGTGTGTAGGCAGGGCAGCGTGACGAACGTGAAGGGAGCTAGGCTCCTCTCACAGTCCGCCCTGAAGACCGGAACGGCGCGGGAACACGACGAGAGGAACGCGCGGAGCAAAGGTAAGTGACACGGGGGACTTGGCTTACTACTTGGGGGGGAATAGTACTGTGGGGGATGAAATACTATAGGGGGGATGAATTAATATGGGGAATGAATTACTATAGGGGGATGAATTACTATGGGGGATAAATTACTATATGGGGGATGAATTACTATATGGGGGATTAATTACTATGGGGGATGAATTACTATATGGGGGATGAATTACTATGGGGGATGAATTACTATGGGGGATGAATTACTATATGGGGGATTAATTACTATGGGGGATGAATTACTATATGGGGGATTAATTACTATGGGGGATGAATTACTATATGGGGGATTAATTACTATGGGGGATGAATTACTATATGGGGGATGAATTACTATATGGGGGATGAATTACTATGGGGGATGAATTACTATATGGGGGATGAATTACTATGGGGGATGAATTACTATATGGGGATGAATTACTATATGGGGGATGAATTACTATGGGGGATGAATTACTATCTACTCTTGGTCCGGCCCCCGGGTCCAATATATGAACCCATTGCGGCCCCTCAAGTCAAAATGTTTGCCCACCCCTGCTCTAGTACATAGTATGATAGAGGTGTTCTGCGAAAAGAGCAAAACACCTAGTGCATTATCCAAGATTTATTCAAAGCTGTAAAAGACAAAAACATACTCACAGGCATAGCATGTATACAAAGCTTTGCATAATGGAGATGGCCGCAACAATGGGCAAGGTGTTCTGACTGTCAGTGTGGTCAAGTGACTGACGCATTTCGGGGATGAGTCCCTTTCTTCAGAGAATCTCCTATGTATCCACTAAAGTGTGGGTACCTTATTCCCTCCCCCCACCCTGTAAATAGTTCTGAACGCCTGGGGAGTGGGAAGGATCGATGATTATGTGGCCACTGTCACATTGGTCACATGTATTGGAAGCTGCTCCCATCGGCTACCGATCTTTCTGGATCAATAGCTCTGTATGAAAGCTCAGTCTTTGAGCTGGGAGCGCATAGTAAGTGCAATCTAAGCACAAAAATATTGGCCACCCAGCATTGCATATGTGCAGTGTAGGGGCATTAAAGCCCACACTTTTTCCACCACACATATGTGTTGTATGGTCAGAAGGATGTTATAAGGCTGGTGAAAAATTACCCATGCATTGCATAGGTTCTAAAGCATAAAGATTTTTTTTTTTTATTTTAATGCATTCCTTGTGTTAAGGTAAAAAATGTTTACGTTGCAGTATGCTGCTGTGCCCATCTGTTGTAGCGGCTCTTCCTGCTCTCACAGGCTTTACTGCCAGCCAAATCCCGTGATGATGGAGTGGGTGGGAGGGGACAAGCTTCGCTGTCTGTCTGGACGCAGGCAACGTGACTCGGGATCGAGCCTGCAGGTGTGCCACCATAGGAAGTAGGAAGGAGTGCCAGCAGGGGGCCCAAGAGGAGGAAGATGGGGGCCACTCTTGGCCTTGGAATTGAATGGAGCAGGTGAGTATAAGCAGGTAAGTTGTTTGTTTTTGGGGGTTTTTTTTGTTTGTTTTTTTTATGTTAAAAAAATATATAAAAATTGTACAGAGAGCGTTAAATGAAAAATACAGAAATAAAAAGTAAATACAGTACTTATATAACCAGCTGCAAATGCACCGACATAGGAACCCTAAAACCCAGTAAAAATACATCAATATAAAAGTGCAGCTCTAAAATATGTGAAATAACTTAATGTACCAATAAATGATACTGAACAGTGGAAAACATATAAATTTCCGGGTAGGTATAGCGCATAATCAGGCGCAAAGAGGAAGAGTAATATTGCACAGTCTAATGACGTATTCAGAAGTGATGCAGGTTTGACTTAGTCAGGTCAGCAGTAAAGTGCTTAGTTTTCAAACTTCATAAGTGCTTCCCATACAAAAATCCTCGTGATAGGGATCCGTGCAGCAATGAATAAAATGCGCACTCACCAGATGCACATAGGTTATGCGCATTAAACCAATATGACTCTGTCGGGGCCCCTTTAAATGGAACAGCCAGCCAGCCTGGAGCAAGAATCCCTTGTCTGGACACCAGCTTCACATGCATTCACGCTTCCTCTGGGGTTCTCTGTGAACAATTAGCTCAGCAAGTTTATTTTTCCTCAAGTTTTGGTGCCTCCATCAAGAAATTTGTGTGTGTTGTTTGTTCTTTTAACCTGGTGTGTCAGAGTGGCTGAGATGTTTAAGGGTCCTGGCAGAGAACAAAGGACCTGATTATCTGCAGTCTTCTCTTTACAGCAGTTCAAAGTTTAGAAAGTTTGTCTGAGAGTTCAGAAATAAGGGAGTGGAGAGCTGAAATTACACACTGCAAAGCTCAGTAAGGAGAGCTGTCATGGATACACCTGAGCTCAATTTGGAAGGGTGTCCACATACTGCCTACCATTTAGAATGGTGTGATGGTCAGGTGTCCTCAAAATGTTGGCCACAGTGTGTACATTATTAGTTTTAAATAGCATCTTTATAAAACCTGCTCAATGTTTTGCACAAGAAAATAATTGGAGGATAAAATGTGAATCTGCTTTTGTCTCTGAGATAAATAAGTGCAGAAAAAACATTCCAAACCTTTTTGAACTTGTTCAGGGTCAGTCTCTAATTAGTGAAGTTAGAGAATAAAGTCGACAACCAGAGAGCTTGTGACATCTAAAGGAAACGGTAGTTCTCATATTCACATACTGATTGTATTGATACGTGATACGTTTATGAAAATAAAAGGTATTTAGTGTAAATTTAAACTTCTCAGCTTCATCTTACCACTGTGTATGGTAACCGATTTACAGTTGCAAGAAAAAGTATGTGAACCCCTTGGGATTACGTGGAGTTTTGCATGAATTGGGCATAAAATGTTCTCTGAACGTCATCTAAGTCACAACAATAGAAGAACACAGTCTGCTGAACATAATACTACACAAACATTAGATGTTGCCATGGTTTAATTGCACATAACATGTAAACATTCACAGTGCAGGGAGGAAAAAGTATGTGAACCTTTGGACTTAATAACTGGTTGACCCTCCTTTGGCAGCAATAACCTCAACCAAATGTTTCCTGTAGTTGCAGATCAGACCTGCACAACGATCTGGAGTAATTTTGGACCACTCCTCTTCACAAAACTGTTTCAGTGTAGCAATATTCTTGGGATGTCTGGTGTGAATTGCTCTCTTAAGGTCATGCCACAGCATTTCAATCGGGTTGAGGTCAGGACTCTGACTGGGCCACTCCAGAAGGCGTATTCTGTGCTGTTGCAGCCATTGTTTTGTTGAATTACTTGTATGCTTTGGGTCATTGTCCTGTTGCATCACCCATCCTCTGCGGAGCTTCAATTGGCGGACAGATGGTCGTACGTTTTCCTGCAAAATGTCTTGATAAACTCTGGAATTAATTTTCCCATCAGTGACAACAATCCGTCCAGGCCCTGAGGCAGCAAAGCAACCCCAAACCATGATGCTCCCTCCGCCATGTTTTACAGTGGGGATGAGGTTTTGATGTTGGTGTACTGGGCCTTTTTTTCTCCACACATAGTGTGTTGTGTGTTCTTCCCAAACAACTCAATCTTGGTTTCATCTGTCCACAGTATATTTTGCCAGTAGTGCTGTGGAACATCCAGGTGCTCTTTTGCAAACTTCAAACGTGCTGCAATATTCTTTTTGGACAGCAATGGCTTCCTCCGTGGTGTCCTCCCATGTACTCCATTCTTGTTTAATGTTTTCCTTATTGTAGATGTGTCAACAAAAATGTTAGCATGTGCCAGAGATTTCTGTAGGTCTTTAGCTGACACTCTGGGATTCTTCTTTACCTCATGCAGCATTCTGCACTGTGTTCTTGCAGTCATTTTTACAGGACGACCACGCCTAGGGAGAGTAGCAACAGTGCTAAACTTTCTCCA